CAAATATTTTTTTATGGGCTCCTATAGGGTAACTCGTGAAAATAGAAAACTTTGGGCGAAAATTTCGTCCGTTTTGCTCAATCTTGTACCGTTTAGGTGCTAGGGGGCATCTCTGGACAAAAATGTGGTGACAATGGCCAAATGGTCTATTAAACCGTAAAAAAGGCTTTATACCAAAAAAATGTGTATAGACTCCTATTCACTCGCCTCGGGTGTCTGCGCCGCAGGCCTAGCTATATGTGCGCCAGGCGCGTCGCAGCGTAACAGAGTTTCGTGAGATATCGCGAAGCCTGTTACGCGAGACGTGGTCTGGCGTACATATAGCTAGTTACATGAAGTTGATGTTTTTGGCTGAGCGATCAGCGAAGCCCATAACTCCACTGACCGAAAAAGTTTCATTCTGTTTGTTTGTCTGTTTGTCTGTCTGTCCGCACGATAACTCGAGAGATCTGGGAATTTCAGGGTATCATCAAAAGACAGATCGAGTTCGAAGATGAGCATTGCAGCTCAATAATTGCTTTTTAAAAAAATCAAAAACCACAAGGACGCAAAATATTATTTTTCTTTAAATATTTTTTTTTATGGGTCTCTAAGGGTTAACACGTGAAAGTAGAACCCTATGCACAAAAATTTCGTCCGTTTTGCTCTATCTTGTACCATTTGGGTGCTAGAGGGCATTTCTTGACAAAAATAATGTGAAAACGACTAAAAATGGTCTGTGAAGACGTAAAAAAGGCCTTTTATTGAAATATTGTGCAGGAAGTTATACTAAAACCACACGGTTGACGTCGAACCACACCCTCCTTTAGGCTCAAGGGTCTCTAGATTATCTATTATCACTAAAACGTTAAGCTCTAGTATCACTACAACGTTAATTTTTACATAACAATCTATCAAAATTCGAACTTTTAATCGAACAGTAGAAGTTTAATTTCCTAATTTTAGGGTAAAAATTCCCCGACAAATGCTATGAATATGTCAAATTTTGCAGCCGGAACGCTCTGTTCCCGAATACCCTCCCACTAACTCGTGTCGGGTGTCAGCGCCGCAGGCCTAGCTATATGTGCGCCAGGCGCGTCGCAGCGTAACAGTGTTTCGTGAGACATCGCGAAGCCTGTTACGCGAGACGTGGTCTGGCGTACATATAGCTAGGTATTGTATAGAGGCATTCCGATTCCCGAGTAAACCTCTTGGAGTAGTGTGAGGTTATGATCATAGTATGAGTTGATCTTACAAAAATTTGAGTTGGCAATCTATGTGTATTTATATTGGTGTGGTCTTTGACCTTGCAACTTGTAATTAAAATGCAACCTTGAACATTTCTTGACTAAATTATTTTCATCCAGGGGAGAGAGGGGGGGGGCGCCGCAGGCCTAGGTAGATGTATGCCAGGCGCGTCGCAGCGTAACAGTGTTTCGTGAG